CCCATAGACTAACACTACCCATAGACTAACACTGCCCATAGACTAACACTGCCCATAGACTAACACTGCCCATAGACTAACACTACCCATAGACTAACACTGCCCATAGACTAACACTGCCCATAGACTAACACTGCCCATAGACTAACACTGCCCATAGACTAACACTACCCATAGACTAACACTACCCATAGACTAACACTACCCATAGACTAACACTGCACATAGACTAACACTGTCCATAGACTACCACTGCCCATAGACTAACACTACCCATAGACTCAACACTGCCCATAGACTAACACTGCCCATAGACTAACACTGCTCATAGACTAACACTGCCCATAGACTAACACTACCCATAGACTAACACTGCCCATAGACTAACACTACCCATAGACTAACACTGCCCATAGACTAACACTACCCATAGACTAACACTACCCATAGACTAACACTGCCCATAGACTAACACTGCCCATAGACTAACACTGCCCATAGACTCAACACTGCCCATAGACTAACACTGCCCATAGACTCAACACTACCCATAGACTAACACTACCCATAGACTAACACTGCCCATAGACTAACACTACCCATAGACTAACACTGCCCATAGACTAACACTGCCCATAGACTCAACACTGCCCATAGACTAACACTGCCCATAGACTCAACACTACCCATAGACTAACACTACCCATAGACTAACACTGCCCATAGACTAACACTACCCATAGACTAACACTGCCCATAGACTAACACTGCCCATAGACTAACACTGCCCATAGACTAACACTGTCCATAGACTAACACTACCCATAGACTAACACTACCCATAGACTAACACTGCCCATAGACTAACACGGCCCATAGACTAACACTGCTCATAGACTAACACTGCCCATAGACTAACACTACCCATAGACTAACACTGCCCATAGACTAACACTACCCATAGACTAACACTGCCCATAGACTAACACTACCCATAGACTAACACTACCCATAGACTAACACTGCCCATAGACTAACACTGCCCATAGACTAACACTGCCCATAGACTAACACTACCCATAGACTCAACACTGCCCATAGACTAACACTACCCATAGACTCAACACTGCCCATAGACTAACACTACCCATAGACTCAACACTACCCATAGACTAACACTACCCATAGACTAACACTACCCATAGACTAACACTGCCCATAGACTAACACTGCCCATAGACTAACACTACCCATAGACTAACACTACCCATAGACTCAACACTGCCCATAGACTAACACTACCCATAGACTCAACACTGCCCATAGACTAACACTACCCATAGACTAACACTGCCCATAGACTAACACTGCCCATAGACTAACACTGCCCATAGACTAACACTGTCCATAGACTAACACTACCCATAGACTAACACTACCCATAGACTAACACTATCCATAGACTAACACTGCTCATAGACTAACACTGCCCATAGACTAACACTACCCATAGACTAACACTACCCATAGACTAACACTGCCCATAGACTAACACTGCCCATAGACTAACACTACCCATAGACTAACACTACCCATAGACTCAACACTGCCCATAGACTAACACTACCCATAGACTCAACACTGCCCATAGACTAACACTACCCATAGACTCAACACTACCCATAGACTCAACACTACCCATAGACTCAACACTGCCCATAGACTAACACTACCCATAGACTCAACACTGCCCATAGACTAACACTACCCATAGACTAACACTACCCATAGACTCAACACTGCCCATAGACTCAACACTACCCATAGACTCAACACTACCCATAGACTCAACACTACCCATAGACTCAACACTGCCCATAGACTAACACTACCCATAGACTCAACACTGCCCATAGACTAACACTACCCATAGACTCAACACTACCCATAGACTCAACACTACCCATAGACTAACACTACCCATAGACTCAACACTACCCATAGACTCAACACTACCCATAGACTCAACACTACCCATAGACTAACACTACCCATAGACTCAACACTGCCCATAGACTAACACTGCACATAGACTCAACACTACCCATAGACTCAACACTACCCATAGACTCAACACTGCCCATAGACTCAACACTGCCCATAGACTCAACACTATCCATAGACTCAACACTACCCATAGACTCAACACTACCCATAGACTCAACACTGCCCATAGACTCAACACTGCCCATAGACTCAACACTATCCATAGACTCAACACTACCCATAGACTCAACACTACCCATAGACTCAACACTACCCATAGACTAACACTGCCCATAGACTAACACTGCCCATAGACTAACATGCAGTAAAGGTTACGAACCGCTGCTCTATACATGCGCTGGATGTGAATGCGTATGAAGTTGTTGTTGTGTTGTTGTTGTGTTGTTGTTGTGTTGTTGTGAATGAATGCGACTTGAGCATCGGCAGTGGTAACCGCCGGCCGCCCCACTCGTTGCGCTCAGCACGGCAGATTGGCGCTCGCGAGACGACGGCGGTGGCGGTGGCGGTGGCGGTGGTGGTGGCGGTGGTGGTGGCGGCGTCGGTGGTGGTGGTGGTGGCGTGCGGCTGAGTCAGAGTCCCAAGTCCACGAGTTTAGATCTTGGTCAGCGACTCATCTCGTCATCATCAGTCATTGTTGTCGTTATCACGATCATCGAATAATCATCGTCGTCATCATCGTTATACCGTCATTGTTGTCGTTATCACGATCATCGAATAATCATCGTTCTCGTTATACTGTCATTGTGGTCACTATCACAATCATCGAATAATCATCATTGTCATTATCACAATTATCATTATTATAAGCGTCGAATGAGCATCATCGTCATCATCCAGTCATTGTGTTCATTATGATCATCATAATGGTCGAATAATCATCATCACCATCGTTATAGAGTCATCTTCCTGATGACGACCGCTTGTGTTGCGATCGAAATGTCGTAGTTTTTTGTTATTTTCTTTGAACCTATCAACGTGACTTTACCGAAAGACCCAAAGAATATTATCAGAAGCGTCGAATCATCATCATCATCGTTCTACAGTCATTGTGGTCGTTGTCACGATAATCATCATAATCATCAGCAGCAGCAGCATCATCCAGTCATTGTTGTCATTTCCGTGTTCGTCATTCTAATTATCACCATCTAATTATTATCATTGTCAAACAATGATCGTAATCATTGTCATTTAAACCACATCCGCAATATTAATCGTCACATTCTTTTGTATTATCCATAATCGCGGTTATTTGGGTTAGATGGCGTGAATTTAAATGTGTCGTTAAACCCGCCACCACCCAACGCAGCCGATTAGTACGGTTTGTCGCGTAAACAGAACGTGCCATTTAGTTACTAGTTGAGCTAAACCGTATCGGTTGAAGGGTATTGGCATATTCCTTTTGTCCAATTAATTAAATCACTGCACGATGTCACTTTAACGATTACCCGCCTCTTCAAAGTGTCCGAGACATAGGTCTGAACATTTTTTATAACCTTTTACCGGGTATGGCGGTGGGGAGGGGGGGCTCCTATTTTGCTGCACGTTTGTTTTGATCTCTCTCAAGTCCGAAGTCCTTAAGGCGGAAGTGAAACCAGCCGTTCCCGTGTCCGCCCACACTCCGCGATTTGTTTCTGCTCCGGTGAAGGCTCCAGTCCCGCGATGAGCTCGCACGCAGCGCGATAACATCGACACGCGCGGAGCCAAGGTAGAAACAAAGTTACCCCATGTAGCCTTGATAGACTGTTGGGGCAAGTGCTGTTAGCGAGTAGCACCTATAAAGGCCGGCACGGCACACGAGGGGGTGGGTGGCCAACACCACGCCCGGCCGAACTTGGGTCGCCGGGTTCGGAGCGCAGCGCGCTGACCACCACACTACGGCACACACGCACACATGCGCACACACGCACACATGCAGGCGCACACACGCCCACGCGCACACACACGCACACACGCACACACGCACACATGCACACACATACACACGCACACGCGCACACACACGTACGTCGTGAACGGCTGCCGCGTTGCTGTGCAGCGCTCTGTTGTGTTCTCAGGTCACGCCCCGTGTGGTTTGGCACGATGTCCGACGTTTCGCTACTGCGCGCTGGGAGCTTCTCCGGGAACAATGTTGTTGTTGTTGTGTGACCCAATCGGAGGCTGGTCTATCGGTTTGTTCTTGTCAAGAGAAGCGAGCAGACCAGTCGGTCAGTCCCTCTGTGCCCAGAGACCTCCCTCCCCACCCAAACCGATTTGATTGCCGAAGAAGGCCCCGGCACGTGGGGGCGAAACGTCGGACGTCAACGCGGTAACCCACCCAAGAGAGCGCGCCGGACGTGCAGAGGGCGCGCCCCACGTGTCGGGCAGCCGCACGTTGCCTCTTTGTTCCGGGCACAACGACGACGGCACAACGAGCACAACGAGCTCGCGTGATGCCGTGCCCTCCCACGCTCCTCCCGCCAGCCCCCACGAACCGCCGTGGGTTCTCACGCCGTCGCGCCGCTCGGATTCGGCGGTCCGTTTGATCTCCGACCTTTGTCTCGTAGGCGACCCGGCTCGGGTCGGAGGTCAAAGAGACGCCGGGAGCCCGGCAGGCACCGCCTGAGACTCCTCGATTCCAAGCCGAGTTTCAGCCGGGGCAGTCAACGGAGTTCGAATTTTCGCTCCCACCACGGCGTTGCGGGGCGCTCCGGCCTTCCATACCATGGAAGCAGAGGTCGCAATCGGGTACCCAATACCCGTACCCGGCCGGGTACGGGTAGCCGGGCGCTTGTGGTGAGCATTGATCTTCGTCATCATAACGGTAGAGAGATGATGAGGGCGCTTGTGGTGAGCATTGGTGATCTTGGTCATCATAACGGTAGAGAGATGATGACGTGGTAAACGGCGATCGTAGTCGTAACGGCACCTGTGGATGACGTCGCGTCGTGGTGCAGATGGACTTCATGAGGCCGGGCGGCAGGCGCGAGCGCCCCAACTCGGTGCGCTACGCCAGCGGCGGTGCCGGCGGCGGCCCCGTCGAGATGTCGGAGCCCGTCCTGGCGTCGCCCTCCGCCGTCCTCGCCTCCTCCAACCTCTCCGAGAAGGAGATCCAGCCGCTCTTCGAGAAGATGATGGTAAGCCGGCGCGCGTGCCGTGAACCGGGGGGGGCGGCTGGCCACTCGCCGCCGGGTACGCGGCGGGGGGGGGGGGGGAAATGGGCGCGGCTTCCCGTGGCCGCCGGGGCGACGCGGGGGGCCAGTGTCGCAGTCGCGACGGGGCCCCCCCCCCCGTGCAGCTGTAAGTGCTGTGATACGCGTGGCGCTGTCTTCGCTAGGCCATGAAGAAGGCCCGCTGGCTCTGGTCTAGGCCAATCGGTTTCAAAGACAACGCATCAAACTCTTTGGTTCTTTCGGTAAAGTCACGTATGTATAAAGTAACGCATCGTGTATCATCAGAGCCACGTGCTTGTTGACATGTTCACCGCAGTTACTGTGTGTGGTTAATGCCGTAATTTGATTCCTTGCAAAAAGGTTTCTATTTGGTGTTTACGCATCTTAACACCATCCCGTTTTATTGGCAGGAAAGGTGAAGCCTCCTCGTGTTTTTTCATGCGTTCGTGTTTTTGTTCATCAATTTGAGATTGTCAACCATCAATCGGGATCTTTGTTTAGACCGCGTGAGGAATCCGAAAAGCTACGAAGCTCTTTTTGTGTCACCGATGTCCGGGGGGGGGGGGGGGTGTCACAGCAACGTCGCAACAACAAACGCAGAAACGAGCCCAGTCACAAACTATAGGGAAGGTAAACGAATTGCTAAAACATGTAATCGACGATTTTTATTTTACCGGGTGAAGCCCCCTACACCAGCCCCCCCCCGTGTAGCCTCTAACAGGCTGTTGGGGCAAGTGCTGTTAGCGAGCAGCGCCTATGCAGGCCGGCACGGCGCACGAGGGGGTGGGTGGCAGGGTGGGACGCGGCAGGGTGTGTGTATGTTGAACTTTTTTCGCACCATACGTAATCAACTGTGCTAATCGCTGGTGGTGACGATGGTGGTGGTGACGGTGGTGGTGGTGGTGATGGTGGTGGTGACGATGGCGGTGGTGGTGGTGACGATGGTGGTGGTGTGTGCCACAGGAGGACCTCAACCTGAGTGAGGCTAAGAAGGCGCCGCTGCGGGAGAAGGATCTGTGCACCAAGCGTGAGATGGTCGTCCGCTACGTGGGCAACTCGTCCAAGTCGGTGAGTCGCCACGAGCGCGAGCGCTGGCTGGGGATGGCGTTAGTGGGTGAGTTGGTGTGTGTGTGTTAGTGGGTGAGTTTGTGTGTGTGTGTTAGTGGGTGAGTCGGTATGTGAGTGTTAGTGGGTGAGTCTGTGTGTGTGTGTTAGTGGGTGAGTGGGTGTGTGAGCGAGTGAGTCTGTGTGTGTGTGTGTGTGTTAGTGGGTGAGTCGGTATGTGAGTGTTAGTGGGTGAGTCTGTGTGTGTGTGTTAGTGGGTGAGTGGGTGTGTGAGCGAGTGAGTCTGTGTGTGTGTGTGTTGGTGGGTGAGTCGGTGTGTGAGCGAGTGAGTCGGTGTGTGTGTGTTAGTGGGTGAGTCGGTGTGTGAACGATTGAGTCTGTGTGTGTGTGTTAGTGGGTGAGTCGGTGTTTGTGTGTTAGTGGGTGACTGGGTGAGTGGGTAGTTGAGTCTGTGTGTGTGTGTTAGTGGGTGAGTTTGTGTGTGAGCAAGTGAGTCTGTGTGTATGTGTGTTAGTGGGTGAGTCGGTGTGTGAGCGAGTGAGTCTGTGTGTGTGTGTTAGTGGGTGAGTCGGTGTGTGAGCGAGTGAGTCTGTGTGTGTGTGTTAGTGGGTGAGTCGGTGTGTGAGCGAGTGAGTCTGTGTGTGTGTGTGTTAGTGGGTGAGTCGGTGTGTGTGTGTTAGTGGGTGACTGGGTGAGTGGGTAGTTGAGTCTGTGTGTGTGTGTTAGTGGGTGAGTTTGTGTGTGAGCAAGTGAGTCTGTGTGTATGTGTGTTAGTGGGTGAGTCGGTGTGTGAGCGAGTGAGTCTGTGTGTGTGTGTTAGTGGGTGAGTCGGTGTGTGAGCGAGTGAGTCTGTGTGTGTGTGTTAGTGGGTGAGTCGGTGTGTGTGTTAGTGGGTGACTGGGTGAGTGGGTGTGTGCGAGTGTGTGAGTAGGTCAGTGGGTGTGTGTGTGTGTGAGTGGCAGCGTTTGCCCACACGTGACACGACGACTCGGTTTGACCGTCGCTCGAAGTCGTCGTGCCCCCCGCGACGACCCGGCTCTACGACAGGCGGCTTGTGCACCTCGACCAATTTCCCGTCGCTGTGACTCTTAACGATCTCTGCAACCCCCCCCGCCCCCCCCCCTTGTCTGTGTCGTCCCCGATGCCGCCCCCGCGTGCTCCCGCTCGCCTCGCGCTCTCCTCCCGCAGCTGGTGAGTAGTCCGCACGTCCACCTTCACGCGACAACCGGTTTGGGAACTTTCTCCGATCCCCCTCGGCCCATCGTCAAACATCCGCTCTGCCTCGGCACTTTCCCCCGCCCCAGTCCGCGTCAGCCGCTTGTTGACGCCCGCGGGCGGGGGCCGGGCGGTGCCACGGCTTTGTTGAACTTGCGTCTCCGAGGCCCTTTGAAGTCGCAAAGAACCCGGAGACGCAACGGCTCTGGGCCACCGTGGCGCCCCCATGGTGGCCCGGAGATGTTGACTACCTCGCCTGGTCTACAGGAGGCCGTGGGTTCGATCCCGACCCTGACGACGCCTGCTGTATATTTGGAGTTTGCGTGTCTCTCTCTCTGTGGTGAGATGTTAACTACCTCGCATGGTCTACAGGAGGTTGTGGGTTCAATCCCGACCCTGACGCCTGCTGCTGTATATTTGGAGTTTGTGGTGTCTATCTCTCTCTCTCCCCGTGGTCACGTGGATTTTTCTCCGGGTCCTCCGGTTTTTCCCTCCACGTTGAGAATCAACGTCACGCTTTCAGAGTAAATGTAAATGTGCACGTGATGATGATGAGCCACTTCGTTGAGCTATCATTTGCGATGGCCAGGTCGCTTCTGAAAAAGTAATATTTGAAAAAACTTTTTTAAAATCACGCTTTTATGAAATGTACTAGTAATGGAAGAACTCCACGACTCCAGGAAGTGGCCCCGAAGCTTGCCATAACATAAGGGACCGTGGCCAATTACAGCCAACGTCAGTTCACCGTGGAAACATAACATATAAAAAAGAATGTTAATAAATATATATATTTTTTATGATAGAATATAGTATTGTCATCAGTATGACACAATTATACCAAGTTTGCAGTCGATACCACATTGGGAAGTGGGTTAAAATTGAGTGACAAGATTTGAGGATACAACAACAACGACAACAACAGACAGAGCGAGTTAAAAGAAAGCGTGTCGGTGTGTACGTTGAAATTCTTTCGCACCGTACGTAGCCAGCCGTGCTCATCGGAGGTGCGGGGGGGGGGGAAGTCGAACAAACTGAACACAAACAGCAGCTCTCGAGCAGCACTTGCCCCAAGCGGTCTGTGTAGGCTACACAGGGGATCTTTGTTTGTGTGTGCGTACGTAAGCGGTGGTGTGTAGTGGTCAGCGCGCTGCTGTGCAAACCCGGCAATCCGGGTACGATTCCCGCTCACGGCCAACACCGGTGGCGATGATCTGAACCGGTCCCGGACCTCCCCTAGGTCGACTCGGCCACAAACGAGTACCTGGTGCGGTGCGTAAACATCGCCACTGGGGAGACAAAGGCGGCCGGGCGTGGTGCTGGTCACCCACCCCATCGTGCCGTGCCGGCCTTCATAGGCGCTCGCTCACGGCACTCGCCCCAACAGTCCGTTCAGGCTACGCGGGGGATCTTTGTCTTTACTTTGTGTGCGAGCAGGGCGTGCGCTCGAGCGAGGAGAGCGCGCTGTGCTCGTCGCAGGAGTACGTCTACGGCCTCAAGACGAGCCTCAACGACGAGAAGCTGCTCACGTGCCTCGAGTCGCTGCGAGTCTCGCTCAACAGCAATCCCGTCAGGTGCTGTGTGTGTGCTGTGTGCGCGTGTGTGTGCGTGTGCTGTGTGTGTGTGCTGTGTGCGCGTGTGTGCGTGTGTGCGTGCGTGTGTGCGTGCGTGTGTGCGCGTGTGCGTGTGTGTGCTGTGCGTGTGTGTGCGTGTGTGTGTGTGTGCGTGCGCGTGGGGGGAGCGGTGGCGCAGCGGTCGGCGCGCTGCGCCATAAACCCGGCGAGCCGAGTTGGGTTCCCGCTCGCAGCCATCGACGATTTTCTGAACCGGTCATGGGCCTCCCCTAGGTCGACTCAGCCCCTCTAATGAGTGCTTTGTGTGGTGTGGAAACATCGCCACTGGGGAGACAAAGGCGGCCGGGCGTGGTGCTGGCCACCCACGCCCTCGTGCGCCGTGCCGGCCTTCACAGGTGCTACTCGCGAACAGCACTTGCCCCAGCAGTCTGCTAAGGCTACACGGGGGATCTTTGTCTTTGTGTGTGTGCAGCTGGGTGGAGAATTTTGGCAAGGAGGGCTGTGGGCTGCTCCTGACCTCGCTGAAAACTCTGCAGGACTCAAACCGGTAAGAGGCATTACAACTTGGTCGATGTGACGCTCGGTCTATATAGAGTCTATGGGTCTCTGTGCGAGTCTATGGGTCTCCGTGTGAGTTTATGGGTCTCCGTGTGAGTCTGTGGCTGAGACCCGGATTGGAACCCAGGCTCTCAGCTGTGCCGGCTCCGTGTCCCTGACCTCTGGGTCACGCGGCCTCATCAGGCCCGAGTCTGCGTCCGCTGCGTTTGCAACGACGAATATTCACCCTGGGCGACCACCGCCGCTGACCCCCCCCCTCCCCCACCCTGCCCGTCTGGCCGTAGCTCCGACGCGATCTGCAAGAAGAACCAACACGAGATTATCCGCTGCCTCAAGGCCTTCATGAACAACAAGGTGAGCTACCCGCCCGCTCGCCCGCCCGCCCGCTCGCTCGCCCACGTTGCCACGCTCCCACGCTCCCACGCCCCGCCCGCTCGCTCGCTCGCCCGCGGACGGAGGCGGTGGCGCCGGCCTTCATCGGCGATGCTCGCTCACTAACGGCGCTTGCCCCGGCAGTCTGTGAAGAGCTACGCGAGGGGTCTTTGTGTGCTTGCGCGCGTGTGTGTGCGTGTGTGTGCGTCTGTATGCGTGCGTGTGCGTTCGTGTGCGTGCGTGTGTGTGCGCGCATGTGTGCGTGCGTGTGTGGTTAAAGCACAGCAAGTTGGCACAGTAGGGGGCACAGGTGGTGCATCAGCCAGTCATCTCAGTCAGTCGACCGGTGGCACCTGGGTCTGTCCCGTGACCTCCTGCCAGCGGGCGTTCGACACTTCACTTGGCCTCAAGATGCACTTGGCCTGGCACAAGCGTCGTGGTGACGTCACCGCCACTTAGTGGCGAATGGCGGTTGTTGTTGTTGTTGTGTGTGGGAGAGCAGTAGCGTAGTTGTTCGCGTGCTGCGTTTCGAACCCGGCAACCCAAGTTCGATTCCCGCTCACGGCCAACACCGGTGGCGATTATGTGAACCGGTCCTGGGCCTCTCCTAGGTCGACTCTGCCTCAAATGAGTACCCGGTGCGGTGTGTAAACATTACCGCGTGGTGCTGGCCACTCACCGTCTCGTCGGTGCGCGCCGTGCCGGCCTTCGCAGGCGCGACACGCTAACAGCACTTGCCCCGGCAGTCTGTTAAGGGCTACGCGGGGGACCTTTGTCTCGTGTACCCATAGTACGGCATCATGCGAATGCTCGCGGAGGAGAATGGCGTCTACCTCCTGTCCCGGGCCGTCGACCCGGCCTACCCGCCCATGATGGCCGACGCCGTGAAGCTGCTGTCGGCGCTGTGCATCCTGGATGAGGGCGGCATGTGAGTGTGTCCCCTCCCTCCCTCCCACCCTCCCTCCCGCCCTCCCTCTCGCCCTCCTGCCCCTCCCTCCCGCCCTCCCTCCCTCCTGCCCTCCCTCCTGCCCTCCCTCCTTTTTTTTACGATCAGTGGAAACAAGAAGATGCTCGGTGTAGTCGGAACTTTTCTTCGTTCATCATTTCGTAATTTTTTTTTTTAATAATAACTTTGCTTTATGTAAACCCCCACCTCTCGCTCACTCTCTCGCTCACCTTCTCACTCGCTCACTCTCTCGCTCACTCTCTCGCTCACTCTCTCGCTCACTCTCTCGCTCACTCTCTCCCTCCTTTTTTTTAACGATCAGACGAGAAAGATGCTCGGTCTTTCGGCATTTTACTTTGTTCATCATGTCGTTTTTTGTTTTAGTTTTTTTGTTTGCTTATGTGCTCCCTTTTTTTATCAGAGATATAACGCGGGTTTCCCGTGTAACATTAGTCCCATTGTGTGTTACTGTGTTCATAGACACCAACAAGAAAACAAATCGCCCTCAAAAACCCATCACCAGATCCCCTGCTGCTGCGCTACCAGCACCATAGCGGCGAAGGCACCTGCCTGACCTCCCTCCCCTCCCTCCCTCCCATCCTCCCTCCCACCCTCGCTCCCTCCCTCCTGCCCTCCCTCCCTCCCCTCCTTCCCGCCCGCCGGCCCGCGCGACAAAGTGAGAGTTTGCATCCCGAGAAGGACCAACGTACACGGCTGGCGGAGGCGCGGTCCGTCAATGATCAGCGCTCACCTTGACGGTGACGGTGTTTCCCGTCGTCGTCATCGTTGGCTACGATCATCGTCGTCATCGTCGTCGTCGTCATGTGACCGTATTCGTTATCGTTGTGTTTGTCCCCCACCCTTGACCCCCACCGCTGACCCCGCCCCCCGTCCCCCGTGTGCAGGCACGGCAGGATCCTGGAGGCTCTGACTCGGCACGTGGAGGCGAGTGCGGTGGAGAAGGAGGAGGAGCGCTTCTCCCGCATCGTGCGGGGGGTGCAGCAGCAGCAGAGCTTCCCACTCAAGGTGCGGACCCCGTCGCCAGAAGCAACCTCGCCGGCGTCACCATCACACTCACCCTCACCATCATCACCATCATCCTCACCATCATCATCACCATCATCACCATCATCATCATCCTCACCATCATCATCACCATCATCATCACCATCATCATCATCACCATCATCACCATCATCATCATCATCACCATCATCACCATCATCATCACCATCATCATCACCATCACCATCATCACCATCATCATCATCCTCACCATCATCATCACCATCATCATCACCATCATCATCATCACCATCATCACCATCATCATCACCATCATCATCATCACCATCATCATCACCATCATCACCATCATCATCACCATCATCACCATCACCATCATCACTATCATCACCATCATCACCATCATCATCCTCACCATCATCCTTACCATCATCACCATCATCCTCACCATCATCGTCACTCTCGCCGCCATCCCCACCCTTGCCGCCAGCTGAGCCTCTTTAACATCAATCGCCCTGCCCTGCCTTCCTCCCTCCCACTCCCCCACTCCCTCCATCTCCCCCCTCCCCGCTCCCTCCCTTCCCCCCGCTCCCCCCCTCCCCTCCCTCCCACTCCCCCACTCCCCCACCCCTCCTCCCCGCTCCCTCCCGCCCCCCGCACTCTCCCCCCTGCACCCTCCCTTCCCCCCGCTCCCCCCCTCCCCTCGCCCCCCCCCCACAGGTGGCGTGCATGCAGCTGATCAACGCTCTCGTCACCTCCGTGGACGAGCTCGACTTCCGGCTTCACCTGCGCAGCGAGTTCATGCGCTGTGGCCTCGTCGACCTCCTGCCGGTGAGTGGTGGTAGTGGTGAGGTTCAGGTGAGTTGGTGAGTGGTGGTGGTGGTGAGGTTCGGGTGAGTTGGTGAGTGGTGAGTGGTGGTGGTGGTGGTGAGGTTCGGGTGAGTTGGTGAGTGGTGAGTGGTTGTAGTGGTGGTGGTGAGGTTCAGGTAAGTCGGTGAGTGGTGGTGGTGGTGGTGGTGAGGTTCAGGTGAGTTGGTGAGTGGTTGTAGTGGTGGTGGTGAGGTTCAGGTGAGTTGGTGAGTGGTGGTGGTGGTGGTGGTGGTGGTGAGGTTCGGGTGAGTTGGTGAGTGGTGAGTGGTTGTAGTGGTGGTGGTGAGGTTCAGGTGAGTTGGTGAGTGGTGGTGGTGAGGTTCAGGTGAGTTGATGGCGAGTCATCGTCTGTCGGGCGAGTGTCGTCAGGCCACCACGTTCACAGGACGGCTTCCCGCGTGTGCGTCGTTGGAGAGGGGCGTGTAGACGCGGTGCCATCCCCCCCCTCCTCCTCCCCCCCCCCTCCTCGTCGTCGTCGTCATGGCCGCAGGAGCTGAGGAAGCTGGAGAACGAGGAGCTCGAGGTCCAGCTGAAGGTGTTCGATGAAAACCGCGAGGAAGATTCTCTGGAGCTCTCTCACCGCTACCACGACATTCGCTTGGAGATCGAATATCCTTTGGTCGCGATGGAGAGAACGCACGGAGATTCGTTTACATTCAAAACATACAATTTTTATTTTCATTTTACCAGGCTAGGGCCCCCACTGAGCAGCGTGGCTCTTTTTCGGAGGCGACCTGGCGAACACGAACGATAGCTCGGCCAAGTGGCTTGTCGTCATCGTCCACGTGGGATATTTATAGCGGCCAAATACTCTGAACGCGCGATGTCGATTCTAAATGTGGAAGGGAAAAAACGGAGGACCCGGAGACAAATCCACACGACCACGGACTTCCTGTAGACCAGGCGAGGTAGTTAACATTTCACCACGGAGAGAGAGACTCGCAAACTCCAAATTACATAAGGCGTCAGGGTCGGGATCGAACCCACGACCTCCTGTACACCAGGCGATGTCGCTTCTGAAAAAGAGCTATATAGCTCCGTAGGCCTGACCTGGTAAAATACAAATAGGTTAATAGTAGAACCCAGGACCTCAGCGGCTCCCCTCGGCGCCCCTGACCCCTGACCCCTGACCCCTGAGCCCCGAGCCACCTGTCCCATCTCAACACGGCGCTCCTTGACGGGCACTCACCGATGTCCAGGAGGTCTTCTCGGTGGTGGCGAACGTGGTGAAGGACACTGCGGCAGAGGGCTTCCTCCTCTCGCTGCTGCAGCACCTCCTGCTCGTGCGCAACGACTTCTACGCCCGGTAAGACCGCCCGCCCGCCCCCGGGTCCGCTCGGCCCAAAATCTCTGGGGGGAAACGACCGATATGGCGGCGGCGATATGATGTGTGTGTGTGTGTGTGGCGCGGTGGTGTAGTGGTTCGCGCTACGAACCCAGCGACCCGAGTTTGATTTCCGCTCACGGCCAACACCGGTGACTTGCTACACTTGCCCCACACCAGTCCGCGAAGGCTACACAGGGGGCCCTTTGCCTTGTGTGTGTGTGTGCGTGCACGCAGGCCTCAGTACTACCGGCTGGTGGACGAGTGCGTCTCTCAGATCGTGCTCCACCGGGGCGGCTGCGATCCCGACTTCCGGCACGGCAAACGATTCTGCCTGGACGTGGAGCACCTCATCGGTGAGGGGGGAGGCAGGGAGGGGGTGCCCCCCCTCCCCTCCCCTATTGGGGTGTGGAGGGAGAAGCCTCGCCAAGTCCTGGGTTCAATGGGACACCACGGTGGCTAGGAGATGTTAACTACCTCGCCTGGTCTACAGGAGGTCATTGGTTCGACCCCGACCCTGACAACGCCTGCTGCTGTATATTTGGACTTTGCGTGTTTCTCTCTCTCGGTGGTGAGATGTTAACTACCTCGCCTGGTATACAGGAGGTCGTGGGTTCGATCCCGACCCTGACGTCGCCTGCTGTATATTTGGAGTTTGCGTGTCTCTCTCTCCCCTTGGTCGCGCGTGGATTTTTCTCCGGGTCCTCATTTAGAATCGACGTCATGCGTTGAGAGTATTTTTGGCTGCTTTAAATTTGTATTTGATAAGTCACTTCCTTGAGCTGTCATTTGTGATAGCCGGGGCGCTTCTTGAAAAGAGCCACGTAGCTCAGTGGGCCTTCCCTGGTAAAATGCAATAGTTTAAAGTCTCGTGGGAATTTTTTTCAGGAGGGGTGCTGCCATGAACCGATGGTGAAATGAAAAAAAATTGATATCGAGAGCAATGAAGGATCGATTTGGGAGGCCGACGGTCGCTGTGTGCGATCGCAGCCCAGTCGCCTCCGGTGAGATTCCTCTGATTTGGCTAATTTGGCACCGCGTCGCCGGCACGCGACGGCCCAACAACTCCAGCAAACGACGCCGCGGGATCTTTAAAGTCGTCCGCTGTGAGCGAAGCGACCGGCGCAATGGCGTCTTAACCGGGCGCGGCCGCCGAATTTGAACGCGCGATGCTCTCTGCAGCAACGAGTGCCGAACACGCCACCGCTGCTGCGTGTAGTCGTGCCCGCTGCTAGGATTGCGGCCAAACCACGCCGTGGAGCACCGCGGCCGCCTTCGTTAGTGCCACTTACCGCTCGCGGCACGATGGAGGCTACACAGGGAACCTTTGCCTTTTTTTGGTGTGTTTGTGTGCCCGCAGAGGGGATGGTGGACAAGGAAAATCGGCGGAGATCGAACGGAAGGTGGAGGAACTCGCAAAGCAGGTGACGGAAAAATCTTGAGAACCCCGCCCTGTCCAATGCGTCCGCAACCGGCGCGCGATGTACATTTTTTTTCTCTGGCGGTCGGGTCGACTCGGCCTCAAATGCGTACCCGGTGCGGTGTGTAAACATCGCCACTGGGGAGACAAAGGTGGTCTGCGGCCACACAACCCCCTCGTGTGCCGTGCCGGACTTCACAAGTGCCGCTCGCTGACACGGCACTTTCTCATCAAGGAGCATAAACCATCACGCAAACTCCGGTTATCCTCGCGGCGGCGGCAACAGCAGCAGCTTCTGGCTGGCCATGGAACAAAGGCGGTCGCCGCATCGCGCGGCGCTTTCGGACGCCCTTCTGTGGCCGTCGGGAACGCTCCTCCGATACTAGGAAGCCACTGCAGCTGTGTGCACTCTTACGTCGAAATTGAAAACTAATTTATTTTGGAACTGCTTTTTGTGTTTAGTTTGTTGTCCTTCCCCGCACCTCCGATTAGCACGGTAGGCTACGCACAGTGCGAAGGCTGCACGGGCAATGTGTGTGTGTGTGCGTGTGTGCGTGTGCATGTGTGTGCGTGTGTGCATGTGTGTGCGTGTGTGCATGTGTGTGTGTGCGTGTGTGTGTGTATAGCTGGAGGCGGAGCTGGCTGCGAGGCAGGAGATGCAGGTCGCGCTGCAGCAGAAGGAGAACCGGGAGCGCGAGCTCGAGGGCGAGGTGGCGCGCATCCAGCAGCAGGCGAGTGGGCGCACAGCCGTCCCTGGGCGTGTGTGTCACTGTGTGTGTGTCACTGTGCGTGTGTGTGTGCGTGTCGCTGTGTGTGTGTGTCACTGTGTGTATGTGTGTGCGTGTCACTGTGTGTGTGTGCGTGTCACTGTGTGTGTGTGTGTCACTGTATGTGTGTGTCATTGTGTGTGTGTGTCACTGTGTGTGTGTCACTGTGTGTGTCACTGTGCGTGTGTGTGTGTCACTGTGTGTGTGCGTGTCTGTGTGTGTCACTGTTGTGTGTCCCTGTGTGTCACTGTGTGTGTGTCCCTGTGTGTCACTGTGTGTGTGTCCCTGTGTGTCCCTGTGTGTGTGTGTGTGTCCCTGGGCGTGTGTGTCGCTGTGCGTGTGTGTCACTGTGTGTGTGTGCGTGTCCCTGTGTGTGTGAGTGTGTGTCCCTGTGTGTGTGTGCGTCACTGTGTGTGTGCGTCACTGTGTGTGTGTGTCCCTATGTGTGTGTGTCCCTGTGTGTGTGTGTGTCCCTTTGTGTGTGTGTGTGTCCCTGTGTGTGTGTGTGTGTGTGGAGCGGTAGTGTAGCGGTTAGCGCGCTGCACTACGAACTTGGCGACCTGGGTTCGATTCCCGCTCACGGCAAACACCAGTGACGATAATCTGAACCGGTCCTGGGCCTCCCCTAGGTCGACTCAGCCTCAAATGAGTACCTGGTGCGGTGTGTAAACATCGCCGCTAGGGAGACAAAGGCGGTCGGGCGTGGTGCTGGCCACCCACCCCCTCGTGTACCGTTCCGGCCTTCATAGGTGCTCGCTAACAACACTTGCCCCTACAGTCTGTTAAGGCTATACGGGGAATCTTTGTCTTTGTGTGGGGCCTTGTGGAGAAACACTGTCGCTCCACACGAAGCTTCGGGTCTTCTCAGCCACGGTCTGGCCTGCCTACGCTCAATCCTGGGTTTAACGAGGCTGGATTGTGTGAGGAGCTCACAAATCCTTGAAAGATGTGGACAAAGTCCCATCGGTGAGCTCCTCCGCCAGGCAAGGCTGTGTTGGCTGGGTCATGTCCGCCCGCATGCCCAGCCACCGCATGCCTAAACAGCTTTTGTTCGGCCGGATCGAGGGGGCTAAACGGGCGCGGTACGGGCATGGAGAAGAGATGGAGTGATATGGTACAGGAGGACGTGGAGCTGAGTGGACTTGCCGATGACTGGTATCAGCGGTGTCAAGATCGGCCTCTGTGGAGGAGGCTCGTGAAGGACGATACTGGGCAGTTGGAGGCAGTCGCCCTCCAACAACAACAGAGGGCGAAGGAGCGACGCTCACAACTACGAGTGGAGCGCCGGGTGGATAAAACGCAGCGAGTTGGCACAATAGGGGCACGGATGGTGCATCGGCCACTCGTCTCAGTCAGTCGACCCGCTGGCACCTGGGTCTGCCCCGTGACCTCCTGCCAGCAGACGCTTGACACTTCACGTGGCCTCAACGTGCACCTAGCCTGGCGCAGGCACGATGGCGATATCGCCGCCACTTGGTGGCGAATGGCGGTTGTTGTTGTTGTGCACATCCCTCCTGTGCGCGTCGCCGTGCGACTAAAGGCGAGGGCCTTCAACGCCCCCCCCCCCCCCCCCCGTCGCCGGCCTTCACGGGCACCGCTCGCTTGACCGCACTTGCCCCGACAGCTCGGCGCAGGCTACGCGGGGGACCTTTACCCCTCTCCCGCCGCGCGCGACGACGACTAACGGCTGCCCTCTCCTCCTCGCAGATCGTGTCGGGCGGCGGCGCGGTCACGGGCACCGCCGGGGCAACCTCGCCACCCCCCCCGCCGCCGCCCCCCGCCGCCCCCGCCACCCCCCCCTCCCCCCGGCCTCGGGGGACCGCCCCCTCCCCCGCCGCCCCCTCCCCCTCCGGGGGGGCCTCCGGGCGCGCCGCCGATGGCGGGGGCCTTCAACGCCTTGCCCCCCGGCGTGAAGCCCAAGAAGGAGTACAAGCCCAGCGTGGTGCTCAAGCGCGCCAACTGGAGCAAGGTGCCCGCCCCGGGGGGATGTGCGTGCGTGTGCGTGTATGTGTGCGTGTGTGCGCGTGCGTGTGTGTGTGCGTCTGTGTGCACGTGCGTGCGCGTGTGTGTGTGCGTGCGTGTGTGCGTGTGTGCGTGCGTGTGTGTGTCCGTGTGTGCGTGCGTGTGTGTGTGCGTGGTGCATCGGCCACTCATCTCGGCCTTCATAGGTGCTCGCTAACAGCACTTGCCCCAGTCTGTTAAGGCTATATGGGGGGTCTTTGTGCGTGTATGGAGGAGGTGCATCGGCCAGTCATCTCAGTCAGTCGACCCGTGGCACCTGCTGGGTCTGCCCCGTGACCTCCTGCCGGCGGGCGTTCGACACTTCGCGCGGCCTCAACGTGCACCTAGCCTGGCACAAGCGCTACACGGGAGATGTTTTTCTCTGTGTGTGTCTGTGTGCGAGTAGATTGCACCACAGGAAATGCCGTCGGACTGCTTCTGGCTGCAGACGAGCGAGGATCGCTTCGAGAGCCCCGAGCTCATGGCTCAGCTCGCCCTCACCTTCTCCTCGCAGGGCAAAGGTGCCGCCACTCACTTCTCACTCCTCGCCCACTCACCCGCTCGCTCACTCATTCACGAACCCGCTGGCTCGCTCACTCACGCACTCACCCACTCACTCACTCACTCACCCGCTCACTCACTCACCCGCTCGCTCACTCACCCGCTCACTCACCTGCCCGCTCGCTCACTCCCTCGGTCATTCACTCACCCGCTCACTCGCTCGCTCGCTCACTCACCCGCTCGCTCACCCGCTCACTCACTCACCCGCTCATTCACTCACCCGCTCGCTCACTCACGCACCCGCTCGCTCACTCGCTCTCTCGCTCACTCCTCACTCACTCCCTCGCTCGCTCACTCACCCGCTCACTCACTCACCCGCTCACTCACCCGCTCACTCACTCACTTATTCACCTGCTTACTCTATCACCCGCCCGCTCTCTCACTCATTTCTTTATAGAACTGCTTTTTGTGTTCAGCTTGTTGTCCTTCCCCCAACCGCCGCCTCCGACTAGCAGCGCGGCCGGCTACGTGCCGTGGTGCGATAGGCGTTCAACGTGCGCACACACACACCACGTTCAACGTGCACACACACACACACTACGCTCAACGTGCACACACACACACCACGTTCAACGTGCACACACACACACACACCACGTTCAACGTGCACACACACACACACCACGTTCAACGTGCACACACACACACCACGTTCAACGTGCACACACACACACCACGTTCAACGTGCACACACACACCACGTTCAACGTGCACGCACACACACACACCACGTTCAACGTGCACACACACACACCACGGGCCTTTGCCACGACCTCTCCACCATCCGTTGGTGTAGTAGCGCTGCTCAGACGCTTGGCGGGGCTGTGGCATTACCGCTGTTTACGTTCTGGACTCTGGTGAGCTCACTGCCCGGCAAGAGCCGCCTGCACGTGCGTCTGTGCGTGCGTTGAGCTTCTTTCACTCCACCGTACAGACACAACCGTCCGTGCTCATCGGGCGGATGTCGACTGCACATCCGTTTTAAAACTACTGGGACATCTGTGGACGCAGAGCTTCGCGGATCATCGGATTCCTCCAGTGCAGATAAACATTCTGATTCTCATGAAACATAGGCATCGATCCGGATCGATTTGGATAGATTCATCAGTTTATTTCGAATTTTTAAATCAGATCGATTATATTCGATTCAGATTAAATTCTGATCGATTCGTAAAGTGAGATGGATTATTCGATTTATATGGATTTGTTGGATTCAGATGGATTATGATCGAGTCGTCAATTCACATTGATTATTCGATTCGGTTGATTCTGGTCGATTCATCATTCCGATCGATACAGATCGACTCTTCGACTCACATCGACCCATTGTGTGCGCGCATGTGTGCATGCGTGTGTGCATGCGTGTGTGAGCGTGTGTGAGTGCATGTGTGTGTGTGTGCGCGCATGTGGGTGTGTGGGCGTTTGTGTGCGCGTGTTGTGGTTGTTGTTGCTGTTTGCTTCTGCAGCGCGGGAAGTTTTGGGGCCTTCACCAAAATTCCCCCAAAATTCTTTGGGGCTCCCCCCCACCGCCCCCCCCCCCCACCGCCCCCCCCCCCCCCCCCACGAGTGCGCACAGTTTCTCCTTCCCCCACCTCCGCCCTCCTCCGCAAGCCAGTGGGCGCGCGGTCGTCACGCCGCCTTGCCGGGATTCTGCGAACCGCGATTTGCGCCCCGCGTAGCTGACGGCGGTGGCGACGGCCGTCCCCCCGCTCCACTCCCGTCTCCCGCTTCCCCCCCCCCCCCCCCCCCCCCCCGCTCCACTCCCCCCCCCCCCCCCCGCTCCACTCCCGTCCCCCCACTCCACTCCCCCCCCGCCCACGCCGAGAGGACGCCGGGAACGCTCGGCGTGCCAAATGCTCCGGAATCCGGATCTCGACTCCCCCACCTGCGTCCGTGACAGAATGCCACGTGGAGCGGACACGCGTGTCCGTCCCCGCGTCCTCCGCACGTGTCACTCGTCCTCGTAAACCACGCGCCCCCCCCCCCAGCCCCCCCCGCCCTCCCCCCCCCCCCGCTGTTTTCCTGCCGGCACAGATTTTACCGGAAACTCCGTGAGCCGCGGAAATATCGGGAAGCGGCACCGCGGCATCGGCAGGGTGTGTGGGGAGGGTACGAAGCGCGACCAACACAGAACCCTCATCCCATCCGATACCCACAGACCCCGCCGATACGGAACCCTCGCTCCTAAGCCCCACGTCACCGTCTACTCGCAAGGCGACCGCAGTGGCGGCACACGCGGAGACTCGCGCATTCGCTCTTTCTCTCTCTCGCTCTCTCTCTCACTCTCACTCTCTCTCTCGCTCCGTGTGGCCCCTTACGTCGCCGCCGTCGTCGCCGTCGTCATCACCGCGTCCATCTGTTGCCGACGTTTCGCTGTCATTCATCTCTACTCTCGTGCCACCGCCTCCTCCTCCTCCTCGTCAGTCCGTCTTTCTGCCGCCCACCATCTGCCCCTCTGCTGCCATTGCTTTTGATCGATTGCTCTTTGGTGGCGTTGATCTGACAACTGGGCCGTGGGGTCCGTGGGGTCCGTGGGGTTTCGTGTGTCGTCTCCACGTTGGAGAATTTCCCGTGAGCCAGTCGCTCCCATCGCTACCGACAGATAATCTGGATCGGAATTTATTTTAAAAAAACAAAAAATGTCACTTCACTTGCTGGGTGGCGGACATCCGCTTGTCGTGTTCGCAACAGGATGAGCGGCCCTTAAAAGCGAGGTCGCTTTGACGCAAAATACCACGGGACAGGAACAAACACGGGGCGGGCGGGAAAGGCTTCCCACGTCCATCAGTCGGTTGTTAGTTTGCGTGAGCGCACGTGCGTGCACTTGAGCGCACGTGCGTGCACTTGAGCGCACGTGTGCGAGTGTGTGCGAGTGTGTGCGACTGTGTGTGCGACTGTGTGTGTGTAAATGTGTGTGTGTGTGTGCGGAGCGAAAGTTGTAGCGGTGAGCGCGCTGCTGCGCTACGAACCCGGCGAGCCGAGTTCGATTGCCGGTGACAAATGTCTGAGCCGGTCCCTGGGCCTCCTCTATGTCGACTCGACCTCAAATGAGTACCTGGTGCGGTGTGTAGTAAACATCGCCACTGGGGGAGACAAAGACGGCAGGGCGTGGTGCTGTCCACCCACCCCCTCGTGTACCGTTGCGGCCTTCATAGGTGCTCGCTAACAGCACTTGCCCTTACAGTCTGTTAAAGCTATATGGGGGATCTTTGTCTTAATCTTTGCGTGCGCGTGCGTGCGCGTGTGTGCATGTGTGTGCAGCAGAGGTCTCAGACCGAATCAGTTGAGTGTCAATATCTTTCCATCGGTTGCGTAACGCTGTGTGGAAGCTACCGGTCTGTCGCTCCGCACGAAGCTTCAGGTCTTCTCGGCCACGGTCATTCCCTCCCTTATCTACGCTTGCGAAACGTGGACCCCCCCTAATGGAGCATCTTCGCCGGTTAGAAACATTTAGGCTGGCCTGCCTACGATCCATCCTGGGTTTAACCAGGCTGGATTGTGTGAGGAGCTCACAAATCCTTGGAAGATCTGGGCAAAGTCCCTTCGGTGAGTTCCTCCGGCAGGCAAGGCTGCGTTGGCTGGGTCATGTAGCCCACATACCCAGCCACCGCATGCCTAAACAGCTTTTGTTTGGCCGGATCTAATGGGCGCGGCACGGGCTAGAGAAGAGATGGAGTGATGTGGTGCAGGACGTGGAGCTGAGTGGACTTGCCGATGACTGATACCAGCGGTGTCAAGATCGGCCTCTGTGGAGGAGGCTTGTGAAGGACGCTATTGGGCAGTTGGAGGCAGTCGCCCTCCAACAACAACGGAGGGCGGAGGAGCGACGCTCACAACAACGAGCGGAGCGCCGGGTAGCTAAAGCACAGCAAGTTGGCACAGTAGGGGGCACAGGTGGTGCATCAGCCAGTCATCTCGGTCATCTCAGTCAGTCGACCCGTGGCACCTGGGACTGCCCCGTGACCTCCTGCCAGCGGGCGTTCGACACGTCACGTGGCCTCAAGGTGCACCTAGCCTGGCACAAGCGTCGTGGTGACGTTACCGCCACTTAGTGGCGAATGGCGGTTGTTGTTGTGCGTGCGTGCGTGTGTGTGTGTGGGCGTGTGTGTGTGTGTGCGTGTGTGCGTGTTTCCGTACGATGGGGCCGGGCTTGTATCCGGCTGCGTTCCCCCCAATGTGGTGTTTTTGTTCTATCGACAACAAAACAGAACCGCGTCAATATTATGTCCTGTCGGTGCTGTGGGTGGTGCCGTCGATTTAGAAACCCACATTTATTTATAGAGCCAGAGATTCACATGTACGCTCATGGATTGAAAAACAGATCAATAGACTTGGAGAACCACATATAATATAGAGCCATAGATTCACAAAGGGACCCGCAGATTTAAATATAGACCGCTAAACTTACATGGACACCCATAAACTTCTCCACAAACCCAGAGACTTGAATCAAGATCCGCAGACTTATAGACCACTGGACTTCAATAGAGACCCAGAGATTGAACTGTCGTGTGGCCAGCGATTGATCGCAGCAGCTTCACGAGCGAGCGGTGGCCGACTGGCTGCGGCGCAGCGCGGCGTGTTTGTGTCAACAGGAGCGGTGTGGACGTCCGTCCGGCGAACGACACACACGGACGGAAATAATATTTCCCCGGGAAGAGCGATTATTCGGCTGCCGGTTAGAACAACAACAACAACAACACATTTAGCGGCGTGAACAATGCCCAGCCCACCTGTCGCATCTCCCTCGGAAAACAACGCGGCGGGCGGGCGGGTTAACGAGCGCGGCTCGCTATCGCGACATCCGCCAATTAGCGGAGTCAAGACAAACGCACGTGGGGCGGTGGGGGGGGGGCGTGTGGGGGGCGTGTGGGGGGCGGTGGTGGTGGTATTCATTGTCCCCGCGCGCGGCCACGTGCGTCCGCGTGCGCGCGTCGCAAACATCCTGCACGCACGCGCGGGAAGCGGAGGTCCCGCGGAGCTCGTGACGACTCCCGCACATCCTCCCTCCTGCTCGCTCTCCCTCCCGCTCGCTCGCTGTCCCTCCCGCTCACTCTCTTGCCCGCTCGCTCTCCCTCCCGCTCGCTCGCTGTCCCTCCCGCTCACTCTCTTGCCCGCTCGCTCTCCCTCCCGCTCGCTCTCTCTCTCTCGCTCTCTCGCTCTCCCTCCCGCTCGCTCTCTCTCTCCCGTTCGCTCTCACTCTCTCGCTCGCTCGCTCTCCCTCCCGCTCGCTCGCTCTCCCTCCCACTCTCCCTCCCGCTCGCTCGCTCTCCCTCCCGCTCTCTCGCTCGCTCGCTCTCCCTCCCGCTCGCTCTCTCTCTCCCGTTCGCTCTCACTCGCTCGCTCGCTCTCCCTCCCGCTCGCTCGCTCTCCCTCCCACTCTCCCTCCCGCTCGCTCACTCTCCCTCCCACTCTCCCTCCCGCTCGCTCGCTCTCCCTCCCGCTCTCTCGCTCGCTCGCTCTCCCTCCCGCTCGCTCTCTCTCTCCCGTTCGCTCTCACTCGCTCGCTCGCTCTCCCTCCCTCCCGCTCGCTCGCTCTCCCTCCCGCTCTCTCGCTCGCTCTCCCTCCCGCTCGCTCTCTCTCCCGTTCGCTCTCCCTCCCGCTCTCCCTCCCGCTCGCTCTCTCTCCCGTTCGCTCTCCCTCCCGCTCGCTCTCCCTCCCGCTCTCTCGCTCTCCCGCTCTCTCGCTCTCTCTCACTCGCGTGCGATTACGACGACCGCCGTCACCGCCTTGTTGTTGTTGCGGCGTCGAGACCCGGCGTTGTCGTGTTTTGCGAGTTGGTGGTGTTGGCGAGAGGTCCCTGGTGTTTGCGTTGTCCTGCGTTGTTGTGTTTGTGCGATGTTGTCCACGTGAGGTGGGCGCCATGTCCGACGTTTCCCTCCACGTTGTTCGTCGTTGTCGTGTCGTCGGGGGTGTCCCGTCTTGCGCCTCAAAGAGGGTGCACCTGGCCCGGTACGACCGCCGCGGTGACGTCACTGGCACCGAGTGGCGAGTGGCGGCCCTCTCGTGGTTGTGAGATGTTGCCTTTCGCAAGCTGCGCTTCGAGCGTTTGTCTCTCTCGCACCGTCTCATCCGTTGCGCCCCATCCGTCTTGGTTTTCCGCCTCCGTCGTCCGGTTCGTTCCTTCCCTTCGTCTCCCGCACAACGGAAACATTCGCAGTTCGCCAAAACCTTGCCCATCGCGGGATTTTTTTCCCTGTCTCGGATTCGACCGTTCCCGCCAAAGTTCGCCGGTTCGCCGCGACTCGATTGGCCGCGAGATTCCCGTGCGCCTCGTAACCGCGCTGCTCACAACGACGACGGCGCTGCTGCTGCTGCCGGCGGAAGAACGCACGCGGCCGCCGTCTCGCGCCTGCGAAGCGGCCCGTCCCCGGTCCCAGGCCACACGCAGCGCCCCTTGGCGCAGCGAGGTTCAGCCGCCCCGTGATTATATTTGTTAATCGTGCTTAACATTTTAAAATACACCTCCTGTTTCATGTTTGCGTTACCCCCGCGGCGTGGGGGGGTGGGGGGGGGAAGCCTCGCCGAGTCTCGTGACTTTTCGCCGGAGGGTCCTGGAATCGCTTTGCAGATTCCCGCCGTCGAGAAATCTGCGGTGAAACCTCTCAAACTTGGATGGCGGCACCCCGACGGCCCGCCTCTTGCGAGCGACGTCACGGGGATCTTCAACGCTCACCGCGAGCGACGCGGACGGCGCTCGGTGGCATTATTATTATCACCGTCACCGCAAGGCGGTCAATACGCGCACGGCAGTATTTTCCGGGGGCGGCCGCTGCATTCGAACCAGCGAACCTCTCGCAACGACGAGCGGGGGAACGGACGACGCCGTTGTCACGCCCCCCGTCTCCCGAGACCCGCCCCGCGTCACGCGTCAGCCCTCCGTGTTGTCGCTCGGCGCCTTTCTGCGAAGGCGCTGAGCGACAACAGGATACGCGGCAGGCACTCGACGCCCCCCGCGGCTTTCCCATTTTGGCCTTTGTTTTTGTTTTCTTGTTTGCGTTCGTTATTTCCAGCGTCCGAGTTTTTTTTGTTGCTTCGGATTCGACGCTTCCGGAAATATGCGGTTTCGTGACGCGCTTTCAGGGTTCCTGATTTTGTGTGTGTGTCCTGTGCGTGCGTGTGTGTGTCCTGCGTGTGTGTGTGTCCTGCGTGTGTGTGTGTCCTGTGTGTGTGTGTGTCCTGCTTGTGCGTGTGTGTGTGTCCTGCGTGTGTGTGTGTGTGTCCTGTGTGTGTCCTGCGATGAGCGCGCTGTCATAGCGGTTAGCGCGCGTTGCACTATCCAACCCGGTGACTCGAGTTCAATTCCCTCCCACGGCCACCACCAGTGACGATTACCTGAACCGGTCCTGGGCCTCCCCTACGTCGACTCAGCCTCAAATGATTGCCTGGTGCGATGTGAAAACATCGCCACTGGGGAGACAAAGGCGGTCCGGGCGTGGTGCTGGCCACGCACCCCCCACGTGTGCCACAGTGCCGGCCTTCATGATGCTGCTGCTGCTGCTCGCTAACAGCACTTGCCCCAACAGTCTGTTAAGGCTACACGGGCGGGGGGGAGGCTTTGTGGCGAGCCTCGGTACCCATGAAGATCTTTAGTTTCGGTTTTTCTTCATTTTGACGACGTACGACGAAGAAAAAACGATGACGTACGTCATCGGAACGGGAAAGGGTTGATCTCGCTGGGGCAGGGGTTTGTGCCACCGTTTGTATTGTCAACCCCGTTTGTATTGTCAACCCCGTTTGTATTGTCAACCCCGTTTGTATTGTCAACCCCGTTTGTATTGTCAACCCCGTTTGTATTGTCAACCCCGTTTGTATTGTCAACCCCGTTTGTATTGTCAACCCCGTTTGTATTGTCAACCCCGTTTGTATTGTCAACCCCGTTTGTATTGTCAACCCCGTTTGTATTGTCTTCTCCGTTTGTATTGTCTGGTCATTATCACGTCACTGGCGTCAAAGTCGCCCAACAGCCCTCGTTACGGCTGCACTGCTGAACTAGGACGAGGGCCTCCCCACGCACACGTGGGTCGCGACGGGGTTCGTTGCTTGACCTTTCTGTACCGCGCTGGTCAGCCGCGTGGGCTGGCGAAGGCCGGGAGCATAGACGCGGCACAGCATAGATGTGCAGTACAACTCCGCCGCTCTTTGCCGACCGCAAGAGAGAAGCGATGGGGAATATCGTAGCTGGCACCTTGGCATGGCCACATGGCGACAATGGTGACGATGGTGACGATGACGTCGATGACTGATGACAATGATGACAATGATGACGATGATGCCGCCCACGGAGGTGCAAATGCTAACGGCTCGCGGCGTTCTCGTTTGCCGTCGGCAGGAAAGAAAGACGATGACGCGGACGGCAATAAGCTGCTGACGCAGAGGAAGAAGGTCAAAGAGCTGAAGGTCCTGGACCCCAAGGCGGCGCAGAACCTGTGTAAGCCTCGCCGCGATTCCGCAACGTCGCGTGTAGCCAGCTACCCAGCTAGGTTTGCAAGCGAAGGGACCAGTGGTGCCGTCGGTGCGGAACGACGGCGACGGCGTTCGTCGCGCGGGCGGCATAACGCGACGGAACACGTCGGAGGCGGTGTGGGTTCAAACTTGACGCGCAAAGAACAACACAAAATGAACAAACGGGGACGCCCCGTGCGGGCAACGGGGACGAGGCGACGAACGGTGGGACGGGAGGGGAGGGGTCGAGCGAATCGTTCCCTAACAACAGCAGCCACCGTCGCGGGAAGGAGAGAAGTGAAGGCACGCGGGTTTGGGTGCGGGGTACAGCGGCCCAGCCGTGCACTCTGCGCTCGGAGAGATTCGAAACCCTAGGGGGGAGGGAGGGTGAGGGGAGGGAGGGGGGGGAGGGAGGGTGAGGGAGGGGAGGGAGGGAGGGAGGGAGGGAGGGAGGGGAGGGAGGGACGCGGGTTGAGTGCTCTGACCTCCGCGCGACCTGACACGCTCACATCACCTCCACTTGACCCGGAATAATCATGAAGCCCGTTGGAGGAGGTTAATGATAATCATAACAGAGTAAATAACGCCTTCCCATGTTTGCCAATGGGCATAAAAAAAATATATAAAAGGCTTATTTACTATCAAGGATTATTTACTCGTGTTAATGTAAGTATAGTTTCTTGCAATCGGTCGGCCGCACGGCCTTTCGGGAGTTAATCTTATCGGCATCCTTGGTTTCATTACAAACAAGCGTTTGTTTAAGCGAGTAGCCTGGCTCTGCTGATGAGAGACTGAATGTTGAAACCGGCCCAGAGTGTTCCTTGTCGGCAATCAATGCCGCTGATAAGATGTCGTCCCAGGAGGAGGTCGTGCGGCCTGTGGGTTGCGTAAGAAACTAAAATAACGTTTTAACGTTTTTTGTGGAGGAGTTATTTATTTAATTTCCTACAGCAAAGCCTCGCCGCTTCTCCAGACTCTGGAACAGTGCAAAACCATTAACCCTCGGTGCTGATAGCGACTCTGCGCGTGTGTGCGTGTGCGTGCGTGTGTGTGTGTGCGTGTGTATGCGTGTGTGTGTGTTCGTGCGTGTGTGTGCATTTGTGGGGAGCGGTAGTGTAGCAGTTAGCACTACGCTGCGCTATGAACCCGGCGACCCGGGTTTGATTCCCTCTCACGGCCAACACCGGTGACGATTATCTGAACCGGTCCTGGGCCTCCCCTAGGTCAACTCAACCTTAAATTAGTACCCGACGCGGCGCGCCATCGACGGGCCAGCGCGGTGCTGACCACCCACCTCCCTCGTGCGCCCTCCGTCCCGTCCCGAACAACTTTCCCATTCCGATGACGTACGCGGGAGGACGGTACACACGTACGTCATCCGAACGGAATCGGAAGTCAAAGGCCACGCGAGGGGAGGGCGTGCGGCACAGTTTGACGCCGGCTATCGCAGAGCCGTGTCGCTGCGGTTCCCTGAGTGACGTCTTTCAAAACAACGCCGCCGCAGTCGCGCCTCTCTCAATTAAATTGACCGCTAACCGCTCGGCGGTGAACGGGACGCCCGCCCGCCCCACCCTGCGACTCGCAAACGTCTCGGAACGGGAGGGGGGTTAACGGGCCGCTCGCTGACCGCTCAACGGGGGCGGGAGGGGGGGGGGGGATCTCCGCCGTGACCGTGCGCGCGTTTGTCTCGGCAGCCATTTTCCTGGGCTCGTTCAAGATGTCCTACGTGGGCATCAAGAACGCCGTTCTCTCCGTGGACGAGGAGAATCTCACCGAGTCCATGGTGCAGGTGAGAGCTGCACACCGTCCCCCCACGCACCTCCCCCTACCGGCCCCATCCCCCACAGCCATCCGTGCCCGCCACTCCCTGCCCCGGTTCAGGTCCAGGCAGGCTTCGAAGGCCTCGACCCTCTTCGCCCTGCGCTCACGAGCGGCTGTCCGCGGCACGGGGCAGAAGACACTTTCCGATGATTTAGATTAGAGCGTTGGGCTGGTGTGGAATTCGATTGTTTGGATCTCTCAGAACACGACCGCCGCGCTGAAATTTTACTCCACCAAGACGCTTTGTAGGGCGTTCATTTCGATTATTTGGCTGCTGTAAATGTCCACGTGATGATGAGAGCTGTCATCTGTGGCCAGGTCGCTTCTGAATGAGAAGCGAAATAGCTCGGTGGGCCTCAACTGGGAAAATAAAAATAGTTTAATTTCTATACTCTTTTAGCAATGTGTTTACCTTTCCCGTACTTGGAACTCCTATTGTGTTTTTGTATTGTCGCTTGTTGAAACGTTCTGACCCGTGCCCCGACTGGACGCCTGCGACCAAGCGCTCCACAGCTCATCGGGTTCCTCTTGCAGTCTCAAGTCAACATTCTGAATGCGATGTGCGTCGCCACGGTGATGGCCTGTCAACGACGCGTCGGCGTGGCGCGTCGCTCGCTCTGGCGGGTGTCCGTGTCCGTGACTCGGTACCCCCCCCCACCCCCCCTCCCAGAACCTCATAAAGCAGCTGCCGGAACCGGACCACCTGGCGTCGCTCATGCAGATGCGCGATGACTTCGAGGAGATGTGCGAGCCGGAACAGTTCGCCGTGGTGGTGGGTGTCTCTCACCGGTGAACGCGCACCGGGCCGGTGAATGCCGGTGACCTGGGTTCGAGCCCCGCTGTGATTAAGCCTCGGGGAAACGACGGCTCGGGGCCCGGGAAGCATCGCTCCACCGCTCGCTTACTAACTTAGCGGCAGGCAAAGATAAAGATCCCCCGCGTAGCCTTCACGGACTGTTGGGGCGAGTGCCGTTAGCGAGTGGCACCTGTGAAGGCCGCACTGTAGCACACGAGGGGGTGGGTGGACAACACCACGCCCGGCCACCTTTGTCTCCCCAGTGGCGATGTTTACACGCGGCACCGGGTACTTGTTTTAGTCCACCTTGATGAGGCCCAGGACCGGTTCATATCATCGTCACCGGTGTCGGCCGCCAGCGGGAATCAAACTCGGGTCGCCGGAATCGTAGCGCAGCCGCACTAACCGCTAACACCAGCGCTACGCGCAGGCACGCAACGCACACGCAGCGCACACGCAACGCACACGCAATGCACACGCAACGCACACGCAACGCACACGGACGCTGCTCGGTCCCTGAAGAAGCTGCCAGCATGCCCGGGGTGGGTAAGGGGAGAGGTGGCGAAACGTCGGGACATCATGACGACAGCCGACCGTTCGTAACGTTCACGTCGTCGTCGTCTCCGTCCGTACCCCCCCCCCTCGCCGTCGGTCGGCTCAGATCGGCTCGGTGCCGCGCCTGCGGCCGCGCCTCGCCGCCATCCTGCTGCGCCTGCAGCTGGCGGAGCAGGCCGGCGTGCTGAGCCCGGCCATGGTGGCGGTGAGCGCCGCGTGCGACGAGGTGCGGCGCAGCGCCGGACTGGCGCGCCTCCTGGAGCTGGTGCTGCTCGTGGGCAACGTGATGAACGCCGGCTCGCGCAACGCCGGCGCCCACGGCTTCCAGTTCTCCTTCCTGAAGCGGGTGAGCGGGCGACGGCGCGGACGATGTCGTGGACCCGTCGGGAACGGAGATACGACGGGACATTGAAACACGGGACGCGACGAGCTTGGACACGCCCGACGTGAGGGGCCCACGTGCAACGTGGTGCGTGTAGAATGCCGTGAGACGCGGGACACGAAGGGACGTGGGGTACGACGAGATTCCCGCTCACGGCCAACACCGGTGACGGTTATCTGAACCGATTCGGCCTCAAATGAGTACCTGGTGCGGTGTGTAAACTTCGCCACTGGGGGAGACAAAGGCGGCCGGGCGTGGTGCTGGCCACCCACCCCCTCGTGTGCCGTGCCGGCCTTCATAGGTGCTCGCTAACAGCACTTGCCCCAACATTCTGTTAAGGCTGTACGGGGGATCTTTGTTGTTGTCGTCGTCGTTGTGCGTGCAGCTGAAGGACACGAAGTCACACGACCAGTCCCAGACGCTGCTGCACTTCCTGGCTCGGCTGTGCGAGGAGAAGCACCCGGACATCGCGAGGTTCACCAGCGAGATCGCCAGCGTCGAGATGGCGGCCAAAGGTGAGAACCTACCGGAACCAGCGGGAACTCCGTGGGAACTTGCGTGGCCAGTTGGAGGCCTCTAAGCTAGGAACTAAACTCGTTTCCACTGGACCAGCGGGGCGATGCCCACCGAGCATCGCCCCTCAGGCCAGCGCTGGCGACGGCTCTCGAGAGGCGCCGCCAGCGCTAGAGGCGGCCGTCGTTGTCGTTGGCCTCTCCCCGGAAACAGGGGCAGCAGCAGCAGCAGCAAAGCCGTCGTGGCGTTGGGAGGGCTTTCCCACCGTTCTCTAGGGAACCTCCACTTGCGGGGGGGGGGGGGGCCGGGAAGGTGGGGGTTGGGGGGGATGTGGGGGAGGGGGTAGAGTTGTTGCCTCCCCCCCCCGTTTTGCCGAGTCGCCCGCGGGCCTGCCCGGGGCCTAGGGAAGAGCGAGCCTCGTCCGTGAGCCTCGTCCGCGAGCCTCGTCCGCGAGCCTCGTCCGCGAGCCTCGTCCGCGAGCCTCGTCCGCGAGCCTCAGTCCGCGAGCCTTCCGGTTGATTGTTCTCGTCTCCCGCTGCGCGAGGAGGAGGAGGAAGAGGGGGGGGGGGAAGAGGGGGGGGTGGTTATTTATTTCGGAGGAAGCAGCTGCGGTGGAGCAGGGGGGGGAGGGGGGAGGTGGAGGAGCGGTGGACACGTGGACAGGGCAGCTGCGAGATCCGATTCGTCGAAGCCGTCGATTCTCTCCGCCCACCACGACCGTTGGGTTCGATTCGGCTCGACCAATCGGAGAAGACGAAAAATACGCAACGGGTGACGGTGCAGCCCCCCCCCCCCCACCTTGCAATTTTATTGCGCCAATATTCCTTGAGAAATGCATCTTCCCCACCCCCCAGTACAATCCCATCATGGCCACGGCGCGGGGGAGGCCCTCATCCAGCAGTGGATTGAGCATCCGCAGGGGCTGCCGCCTCTACACAGTGGGCTGGGCGGGCCCCCCTGTTGTGGGTGGGTGGTGTCGAGATGAAGGTGCAGACCCGCAACCGCTGGCCACGTCCCTGCTGGAGGCAGGGCCGCCCCTCTAGAGGGAGCCCTGGAAAAGGTTTTCTCTGAGCAGACCGGCAACTCGCTAGGCTTGAGAACCCGGTTCAATCGCAACCCCCCGTCTGTGTGAGTCTATGGGACTGTGGGTCAGTGTGTCTCTGTGCGAGTCTATGGGTCACTGTGTGAGTCTACGGGTCTCTATGTGACTCTATGGGTCTCTGAGTCTACGGGTCTCTGTGCGAGTCTGTGGGCTCTGTGAGTCTGTGTGTCTCTGTGTGAGTCTATGGGTCTCTGTGAGTCTATGGGTCTCTGTGTGAGTCTATGGGTCTACGGGTCTCTGTGTGAGTCTACAGGTTTCTGAGTGAGTCTACGGGTCTCTGTGTGAGTCTATGGGTCTCTGTGTGAGTCTACGGGATCTATGTCTGAGTCTATATCTCTCTGTGTGAGTCTATGGATTTCTGTGTGAGTCTGCGGGTCTCTGAGTGCGTCTACGGGTCTCTGTGTGAGTCTACGGGTCTCTGTGTGAGTCTACGGGTCTCTGTGTGAGTCTACGGGTCTCTGTGTGAGTCTACGGCCCAGATAAGAACCCAGGATCCGTGCCGAGTCGGCGTCTCTCACCCCAGAGCCACCCGGCCGTCTCGGGCAGGCGAGGGTTTAATTAAGCGCAGCAGTCTAGACTCGGCATTAGGGCGCTTTATTACATTAGGGACACGTGTGTGACACTGTGCCTGTGTGTCTGGAACTGAGCATCGTAATTTTTTCTAATGAACAAATGAGGCCGCATAGAGCGTGGTAAGAAAGCCACGTGGACAAATGGCTTAGATTATAATTTTTTTCTTTTTTTATATTGCGATTTATATTTTTTCGCTATTGTGAATTCTCCCGTGAAGATGCGGCCGTTCTGAACGCCGCCGGCGTAAGCCAGCGGTCACGTGAGCTGTAGCGGCGTAGTGGGAACACTTGCAGCTCACGGATGCGAGTGTGTGTGTGAGTGAGTGTGTGAGTGAGTGAGTGTGTGAGTGAGTGAGTGTGTGAGGTGAGTGGACTTGCCGATGACTGGTACCAGCGGTGTCAAGATCGGCCTCAGTGGAGGAGGCTCGTGAAGGACGCTACTGGGCAGTTGGAGGCAGTCGCCCTCCAACAACAACGGAGGGCAGAGGAGCGACGCTCACAACAACGAGCGGAGTGCCAGGTGAATAAAACGCAGCAAGTTGGCACAGATGGTGCATCGGCCAGTCAACCCATGGCAATTGGGTCTGTTCCGTGACCTCCTGCGTTCGATACTTCACGTGGCCTTAAAGTGCACATAGCCTGGCACAAGCGCCGTGGTGACGTCACCACCACTTAGTAGTGAATAGCGGTTGTTGTTGAGCGAGTCGGTGAGTGTGTGGAGTTTGTATGACCGGGCGAAATGTTCACTACCTCGCCTGCTATACAGGAGGTCTGTATATTTGGAGTTTGCGTGTCTCTCTGCCCGTGGTCGCGTGAATTTTCCGCAGGGCGCTCCAGTTTTTTCCTTCCACATTTAGAATCGACGTCGCACGTTTTAGGGTATTTTGCATCTACGCGTTTGCACACGACGATGATGATGAGTTCTAGATTGGAAGCTTTCGTGACTGCAAGGATTCATACTCTTAGTTCTTTCACTTGATACAGATATTTTGCTGTGACAGTTTCACCTGAAGACGGAAGCTTGTGTTGCCTCCGAAACGTCGTGATTTTATTGTTTTTATTTTTGATGAATTTTAATTTCATTTTTTACCTACGTGACTTTACCGAAAGAACTAAGAGGATGATGAAGAGCCCCTTCGTTGAGCCGTCATTTGTCGTGGACACGTCGCTTCTGAGAAAAAGAGCCGTATAGCTCAGTGGGGCCTTTACCGGGTAAAATAAAAAAAAAACATTGTTTCGGTTTCAATAGCGGCATTGCCGCGTTATCACCGGACCGCCGTCGTTTTAATCCGGCATTCACCCGCCCGGCATCGCTGTGCCCACCCGCCCGCCAGTGTCGACGGAGAACGTGCAGAAGAGCGTCACCGCCATGGGCACGCAGCTCCAGCAGCTGGACAAGGAGCTGAAGACCTTCCCGGCGAGCAGCGACCCCAACGACCAGTTCGTGGCCAAGATGACGATATCCTCTCTGGCGCGCGTGACGTCCTCCGGAGGTGCCGCCGTGTGGGGTCACGGTGGGGGGCGGCGGGGGGGGGGGGAGATCGCTACCCCCCTCGCGCGCCGGGCGGGCCGGGAGGTTTGTCTCAGAGTGCTCCGGTTCCCTCGCGCATTAATGGAGTTGGGTCGGACATCCCGATGTAGGACCGCGAGAGCTTGGGCGATTGTCGTTGTTGAGCTTGAGTGGTAACGGGACCCCCCCTTTTAACACGTGCGGGGTTTGTCTCCACTTACTCCGGCTTCCTCTCACGTGTAAACACTCACGGTCTGGTGTTGGTCAAGCATCACAACATAGGAACGCAGAGCTTGGATAATTGTTGGAGTGTTAACACTTTTTACTGGTGCCGGTCAGGCATAGGACCCCCACAGACCTTAATAATAATCATACTTTCACTTGATTTGGCGTCATTCATGCGAACAGCATTCCATGTCGCTGTACATTAATTATATACAGGGCGCGTTTTAAAAAAAAGTTCACTTCTGAGAATTTGCAACAACAACCACGAGAAATGTGCCTCCTCCTCCTCCAGCGAGCTCTGGAGACCCCCTGGAGAAGATCCCAGGCCACGCGTTGACAACGATGGCGGACACGTGGGAGAGACTCCTTGACTTTGAGAAGCTAGTAACGTACAAGTTGTTATCATGTTACAGGGCATTATACATTATTTTTCCATTAAAAACGATAGTCCCATATAAGTGTTTTTTTGAAGCACCATGTATATACGAGGACCAAATCCCATATACAGCCACTGCCAATCAAATGAAAACCATATGGCTGCCACTCCTACCACGCAGAATCAAAATGAATAAAACAAGTTGAGAAATGGCATCAAAGCAGCCTGATAGAGGGCCACAGAGCCTGGGCAATTGTTGGAGGATGTGTGTGTGTGCATGCGTGTGCGTGCGTGTGTGTGTGCATGCGTGTACGTTTTTGCGTGCGAGTGTGTGTGCGAGTGTGTGTGTGTGCGTGTGTGTGTGCGAGTGTGTGTGTGTGCGTGTGTGTGTACGTGTGTGTGTACGCGTGCGTGTGTGGGTGTGTGTACGCGTGTGTGTGTAGGTGCGTGTGTGTGTACGCGTGTGTGTGTAGGTGCGTGTGTGTGTACGCGTGTGTGCGTGCGTGTGTGTGTGCGTGCGTGTGTGCGTGTGTGTGTACCCGTGCGTGCGTGTGTGTGTACCCGTGCGTGCGTGTGTTGCGTGTGTGTGTAGGTGCGTGTGTATGCGTGCGTGTGTGCCAGTAAGCTGCACCCTTTATTGACCCAAGCAGAAAGCTCTCCGTTTGCCGGGATGTCGTCAGATACCAGAATAGTTCCATTTGAACGCGAGACTTAATGGAGGCAGAGGAAATGGGTGTGTGTGTCCGTCCCTTTATGTGTGCGCCATTGTGCGCGTGTGCGTGCGTCCGTGCGTGCGTGTCCTCCTGCCGGGCCGCTAAAACGCAGTGAGTTGGCACGGCAGGGGGCACGGTTGGTGGTGCATCTGCCGGTCATCTCAAGTCGGTCATCCCATGGCACCTGCTGGGTCTGTCCCGTGACCTCCTCCTGCCAGCGAGGCTTCCACACTTTCACTTGGCCTCAAAGTGCACCTGGCCTGGCACAGGCCCCGTGGTGACGTCACCGCCACTTTATTGAAAATGGCGGTTGTTGTTGTTGTCAACAATCAACATTGAGAAGGCGGCCGGGCGTGGTGCTGGCCACATCATTGCGCCGTGTCGGCCTTCAGAGGTGCCGCTCGCGCGCAGCACTTGCCCCAACAGTCTCTTAAGGCTATACGGGAGGTCTTTGTGTGTGTGGTTGCGTGAGTGCGAATGTTTCTGATTCTCAAGTCTCTCTCATGTGATGTTTTACATCTGTAGCTGTTTATTCTCCCACACTATCATGGGGTGACGTGGCCACAATTCTATCTCGCAGCCTGCGCTTGTCCACTCGCACGCGCGTGTGTGTGTGTGTGTGTCGTCTGTGTGTGTGTGCGTGTGTGTGTCTGTGTGTGTGTCTGTGTGTGTGCGTCTGTGTGTATGTGTGTGTCTGTGTGTGTGTGCGCGTGTGTGTGTCTGTGTGTGTGCGTGCGTATGTGTGTATGTGTGTGTCTGTGTGTGTGTGCGTGTGTGTGTCTGGCCTCAAGGTGCACATGGCCTGGCACAAGCGTCGTGGTGACGTCACCGCCACTTAGTGGCGAATGGCGGTTGTTGCGTGTGATTCTGTGAGTGTGTGTGAGTATGTGTATGTGGGGAGCGGTGGTGCATCGGTTAGCGAGCTGCGTTACGAACCCGGCGACCCGCGTTCGGTTCCCGCTCACGGCCAACACCGGGACTATTATCCGAACCGGTCCTAGGCCTCCCCTAGGTCGACTCGGCCTAAAACGAGTACCTGGTGCTACTCCGCGAACAGCACTTGACCCCACAGCCTGTTTAGGGCGACACTAGGGGAGGGAGAGGGGGTGGGAAATCTTTGTTTATATTTTTATTTGCTTACGACGGAAATCGGCGGTATGTGGACCGCATTAACGGCCGAGTGGAATATAATGCAACCACGGTGTTTTCTCGTTTGTTCCATTATGTCACATTTTCAAAATCTAGCGCCCTTCCGCCCCCCCCCGCCCCCCCGACGTCCCCGCGATGGCGCTGCTATCGGCGTCGATCGACTTGGAGCTCTTAACGGCGCCGCGCCACCCAACGAGACCGTTACCCCCCCCCCCTCGCCCGGTACGCAGGAGGTCGCGGGTTCGATCCCGGACCCTGTGACTGCGTTGGTGGAATTATTTATTGTCCACGAGCTTTGGGAGGGAATTCCAGGGCGGGGGCAGAGCGGGGGGGGAGAATATGGAAGGTGTGAACCCTGTGAGTGGGTGAGTGGGGAGTGGGTGGGCGAGTGAGTGGGGAGTGGGTGGGCGAGTGTGTGGGGAGTGGGTGGGCGAGTGTGTGTGGAGTGGGTGGGCGAGTGAGTGGGTGAGTGGGCGAGTGTGTTGAGAGTGGGTGGGCGAGTGTGTGGGTAGGGGGCGAGTGAGGAGTGGGTGAGTGAGTGGCTGGGCGAGTTACTTTTCGTGAACCTGCACGTGTGGTGGTGGTTGAACGCAGCGCGGATGATGGGACGACGACGCGGTGAGCGTCTGGTACAGACCGAGTCCTCAACGCGGCTGTCGGACTCAACGAGTGCAGCTCACGGGAACAGGAACCCGCGGTGGTGGTAGCGATAGAAGAGCGATGAGGAGGTGACTGACCACCGGTGAGTGAGATGAATTGGCGAGCGCCGGTTCGTCAGTCCACGCTGGCTGCTCCCAGCAGGTGCTGCGGCGGGGTAGGTTGGGGCCTGGGCCCAGGTGTGATCGCAACAAGGAGTCCAGCTTTGATCTAATCCGTGCTCTTGTATGGATCGATCGAACGATCGATTGATGGATCGATCGAACGATCGATTGATTGAGAGCGAGCGAGAGAGAGTGACGCACCCAGCCCCAGAGTTTGAACCCAGCATCCTCGGCCTTGGCAGCTTGGTGTATCCAACACAGCCACCTCCATTATTGTTCGTTCGTAATGATGGGGGGGGGGGGGGGGGGTGTAACTGCCTTGCAGTAAACAGTGCTAACAAAGTCATCCAATTCAAACAAAGAACACGTTTAACTTTTCCCAAACAACAGATTATAAAAATATTGAGATGCAATCTGCTGAGGAACAACGGAAAGGCAATTATTGTTATTGTTTTATACCGATTATTAATATGCAGCTGTGCGTGCGTATTCGTTTGTGTGTGTGTGTGGAGGGGGGGGGGGAGCGGTAGTGTCGCGGTCAGCGCTTTGCCACGAACCGGGCAACCCGAGTTGATTCTCGCTCGCGGCCATCACCGGCGACTATTATCTGAACTGGGACTGGGCCTCCCCTAGGTCGACTCGGCCTCAAATGAGTACCTGTGTAAAACAGCGCTGCTTAGGCGTGGTGCCCCCCCCCACTCTCCCCCGTGTGCCGTGCCGGCCTTCATAGGTGCTGCTACTCACGAACAGCATTTGCCCCAACAAGTCTGTTAAGGCTATACGTGGGATCTTTGTCTTTGCTGCTGATTTTATCTTGGCAGGAGGAGGGGGGGGGGACGCCTTCATCCAGCAGTGGATAGAACTGGGCCGATGTTGTTGACGATAAGCGCCGTCCCCCGCGAGAGGAAATTTGCACGAAGCCTGACGTAGGCCGCCGCCTGTTTTGCAGGCGTCCGCCCCCTCCCCTCGTGTCGCCACCTGTCCAGGTCCTCCCAGGCCACGTCCGCTCGTCGGAGGAGCTGACGTCAATACGCGAGTCTCCCTCCCCAGGTGCGCGTAGAGTTCGCCCGGCTTTTGTGAGTTTGCGCGCGGCCATGCGCCACGCACGACGACGACGATGCGTCGTGTGCACGGAGCTCTCCCGCTCCCTCCCCGTGTGGCGAGGCTCGCTCCCTCCCCGCTTTGTTGCGCCGCCCCCGGAGGTGGCAACCAGGAGCTTCCTTCCCCCCGCCGCTTGTCCGGCGACGCAACGCAGATGTCCCCCGCTCGGACCCTGGGGGGGGGGGGGGGAGGGAGAAACAAACGTTTCTCTCGACACGCGCTCCTAAGTAAAGGGGCCCCCCGAGCGAGGAAAAAATTAAAAACCGCGGCGGCGACGGCTTGATTGGATTGCTAAATTGAGTTTGACGTTCGCGTGGAGCCGGTGGCGTGGGCGCACGTGCACACCCAACGGGCGGGTTTAATGAGATCGCCAGCAGGCCCTCTCGCGTGAGGTCATCGGACAGAGACGCCCCCCCCCCCCCCCCCCCGCAGCCTGGGTTGTTCGCCGACTGGCTGCCACGGTGGCTAGGAGATGTTGACTACCTCGCCTGGTATGCAGGAGGTCGTGGGTTCGATCCAGACCTTGACGATGCCTTTTGTATATTTGTAGTTTGTGTGTCTCTCTCTCCGTGGTGAGATGTTAACTACCTCGCCTGGTCTACAGGAGGTCGTGGGTTCGATCCC